CCTTGCCCAGGTCGTGGCTGTAGCTCTTGAGCTGCACAGGGGATGGAGGGGCCAGATTTACCCCTGTGGTGCCTCTGTGGCACCCATTGTGTCCCTGTCCTGGAGGCCCACACTGCATCCCTGGTTCTGTGCTCCACATCCCATCTCCCAATCCTGCATCCCACCTGTGTTCTTGTCACTGTGCCCCCCACCCACATTCCCATTTCAATGTTCCTGTGCCCCCCACCCGTATTTCCATCTCAGTGATCTCTGTCGTGTCCCCATCCCAGTGCCCCCCACCCACATTCCCTTCTCAATGGTCTCTGCCACGTCCCCAGCCCTGTGCCACATCCCCAGTGCCACATTCCACACCCATCCCTGTCCTTGTGTCCCCTGCCACGTCCCCTGCCTTGTGCCCACTGCCACCTCTCCAGTTGTGTGACCCCCACCATGTCCCCAACCCTGTCCCCCTCACCACATTCCTGTGCCCTGTGCCACTTCCCCAGTGCCACATCCCACACCCATCCCTGTCCCCGTGCCCCATGCCATGTCCCCAGCCCTGTGCCACATCCCCAGCACTACATTCCACACCCATCCCTGTCCCCAGCCCTGTGCCACATCCCCAGTGCCACATTCCACACCTATCCCTGTCCTTGTGTCCCCTGCCACGTCCCCTGCCTTGTGCCCACTGCTACCTCTCCAGTTGTGTGACGCCCACCATGTCCCCAATCCTGTGCCCCTCACCACATTCCTGCGCCCTGTGCCACATCCCCAGTGCCACGTTCCACACCCATCCCTGTCCCCAGCCGAGTGCCACATCCCCAGTGCCACGTTCCACACCCATCCCTGTCCTTGTGCCCCATGCCATGTCCCCAGCCCTGTGCCACATCCCCAGTGCCACGTTCCACACCCATCCCTGTCCCTGTGCCCCATGCCACATCCCCAGTGTTGTGCCCACTGCCACCTCTCCAGTTGTGTGACCCCCACCATGTCCCCAACACTGTCCCCCTCACGACATTCCTTTGCCCTGTACCACATCCCCAGTGCCATCTTCCACACCCATCCCTGTCCCCGTGCCCCATGCCATGTCCCCAGTGCCACATTCCACACCCATCCCTGTCCCCAGCCCTGTGCCACATCCCCAGTGCCATGTTCCACACCCATCCCTGTGCCACATCCCCAGTGCCATCTTCCACACCCATCCCTGTCCCCGTGCTCCATGCCATGTCCCCAGCCCTGTGCCACATCCCACACCCATTCCTGTCCCCCAGCCCCATGCCCTTGCCCCACACTCACATTGTGCAGCCCCTTGTGGAACACCACATCCCTGTCCCCGATGGACTTGACGCCCTGCAGGACGTAGGAGCCACCAAACCGAGAGTGCCTGGGCAGGGGACAGGTGACAGAGGTTCAGTGATGCTGTCCCCACTTTGGGGGTCCCATCCTGCCACAGGGGGTGCCC